GAATATAGAGAGGAATTTTCATTTTCTGCTCGACAAATGTTTAGAAAATAATAGCTGGTTTCAGAGGAGAAAAAAAACTAGTTATTTTAATTCTCTCTGAGGAAAAATAACATATGTCATTTCTAGATGCAAAATTTAACGGTGTTCATGATTCTAGGGAAATACAAATACGAATTTGACATTTATGTATTGTGAATGTCTGAAAGAATTTCATTGACAAACTTAGTGTATTCACCAGGTAATTCTACTAAATTTCTTTTGAAAATCCTATTAGTATTTTGCCAATTCTATGTAAAAACTCCGCAGCTTTTCTGCTCGTTTTCAAAATAAATTTTAAAAATAGAGAATGATTTATTGGAAGAATCAGTACATTTTTATCTCAGTTTTGAGGCTTTCGCGGCCACGATTGTTGTATCATTCGCGAAAAAAAATATCCTCAAATTGGGTATATAATATTCCGGAATCCGGAATATTATATTCCGGAATACGAAATATTTAATTCGCGATTCCAGAATAATATTCCGGAAACCGGAATATTTTATCCTTAATTTCGGAATAACATTCGGGGGACTTCCTCGCATTACAATTCGTTGCATCTACACTGAATGAAAAATAGCAGAGTTCTCAAACAAGTCTCACTTATATTGTGACAAGGTTGGGGTCCCTTCTGGTTAAAAACGGTAAAAAAACCGGATAATAATAATAAAATAAAATCAACTAGCTAATGATCACGAACAGATGCGATGAGCACTCTCACCTTCCTCCCACCTAGTCATTAGTAATTAAAAGAAATAATACACAATAAAATACGCGAAACCAAGCCGGAATCATCCCAGAGCCGAGGAAGGACGTTGATGGACCGAAGGGAGAGCATCCTCTCCAGTGGGAGGCCTTTGGGGTCATACTGTATCTCGTGGGGTAGTGTGGAACCCAACAAAACAACCTGAGGAGAAAATGGAACCTAAGAAACGGTGAACCAGTGAAAATAACTGGAAAAGTGGAAACGAGAGGTTGCAATAACTTACCACTGGTGTAAGGTGACAGTTGAGGGTTAGGTTGCCGCGGCTGAATAATAACACCGAAAACAGAAGTCATCTCAGCAGAAGTATGGGTACCCGGAATTCACTCGAAGGAACCAGAGGTTAGAGGAACGAGGCCTGGAGATTCCCAACTGGAGAATTCCTTCCAAGAAACCGTAATTGTTCCGTACACTCCTGATAACACCACAATAACAGCGGAGCCGGATGGACAGGAAGGGTCGGTAACTAGGGTCACCGAACTATTGACCTAGTATCAGCTAGTATCAGCAGTACTAATGTATTCATATTTCAACCACCTGTGGCATGGAAGTCATCGCAGAACCAATGACCTAGTATCAGCTAGTATCAGCAGTACTAATGTATTCATATTTCAACCACCTGTGGCATGGAAGTCATCGCAGAACCAATGACCTAGTATCAGCTAGTATCAGCAGTACTAATGTATTCATATTTCAACCACCTGTGGCATGGAAGTCATCGCAGAACCAATGACCTAGTATCAGCTAGTATCAGCAGTACTAATGTATTCATATTTCAACCACCTGTGGCATGGAAGTCATCGCAGAACCAATGACCTAGTATCAGCTAGTATCAGCAGTACTAATGTATTCATATTTCAACCACCTGTGGCATGGAAGTCATCGCAGAACCAATGACCTAGTATCAGCTAGTATCAGCAGTACTAATGTATTCATATTTCAACCACCTGTGGCATGGAAGTCATCGCAGAACCAATGACCTAGTATCAGCTAGTATCAGCAGTACTAATGTATTCATATTTCAACCACCTGTGGCGTGGAAGTCATCGCAGAACCAATGGGCAGTCCGGACAGGAGTTCAAGGAGAATTGATAACTAAGATGACCCTGAAAACGCTGAACCTCAAGGTGAACCACCAATCAACCTCAAATTTACATATTTGATTAACCCGGAGAGATAGTACATAACAGGCATTTTTCCATTGGCTGAGAGAATTAGAACAGACGACGAGCCACAACCCGGACCTGGACAACGAAAAATCGGCCATCTTTCGTCACTTTGGATTGTACGGCACTCCTGTAAGGAACACAGTGGTGACCACTTTAAACTCAAATTAAAATTATAAGTTTCTGAGCAATTAGAGTGCGCTTTCTCCTACGAGATAGGAGAGTAAGCCCGAACATTCCCTTCGAGAAGGAGAAATTAAGACTTGGCGAGCGATATACGGCAAATTAGGCGATTCCAACAATCGAGAGAGGAAACCACGTGTTGTAAGTACCATTGCAGTAATTACGTGCGTAGGGATTTCGAGTGTTGGGAAAAATCATTAATGCGTTATATAGGTGCGATAATTATGAATAAACTCCTGCTGCTAAAATCGTGAACACCCGGATTTTCTTTTGGGAAACATTATATCAGAGATTTTTGAAATTATTAATTGCGTCATCGGCGTCCGATTACGCCATATTGGGTGATAAAGCATCGGAAGTTAAAAATACTGGACCGCTGGAGTGTAAAATACTGGTTATTTCTAAAATTTCATGAATTCCTTAAAATATTCCTTAAATTCAATTATAATTGACCCGGACGAGCTTCTTTCACCCCAAATTATAAATCGGAGAGATTTGGTTACGGAAAAATCATTTTTCTTTTGAGTTATTTAATTGGTGCGAATTGCCACGTGCTCGAATTTGAAATTATCTCGGTGAATATTGGCGACTTCGGTGTTATAAAAATTGAGGAGAGAATATCCTGAGCCGAGCGATAATATTTTTATGTCATAAAAATACAGAGGAAATTCCCGGAATTAATTGGTATTAACTTGTATTAATTTTCAACGAGTGGATGGATGGTGATAATCCAGACGTGGATTATCACATGACGGTGTAACATTAGAGAGAGAGTTTCCACACATCATATTTTTGAATAAATCCTTTTTTTTGTTCTTATACTATTCGATTTGATTCATTTCAATTTAATACCTGAATTACTTTGAATTATTTCTAGTACTTTGCTGTATATAAATTCCTCATGACACAAAACTAAAATTAGTATTTCATTACTTTTCTTTTACTTTTGCTTTTTTTTCATTATTATGATTGTCTTCAAGAGTTACTACAATCGATGGTAATCTTTTGAGCCGGAAATAACGAACCGAACACAATTAGGATTAATTGGAAATAATTATTACGGAGGCAGTCAAGGTAATTATGCTGATTCTATTTTTTTTAATTGTAATAGTTAACGTGAAATGAGGTCACATAATTCAAAATAACGATTAAGAAGAATCTAAAAGGAATAGATTCCATAGTACTCGGATTTCGAACATTATTATTATTTTTCTTTTATTATTATTTTGATTATAAGGCCTGAACAGAGTAACAATGGAAGAATATAGCTGTGATTTCATTTCAACGTTACAATATAAAAAAAATCGGTTGTTAAAAATGATCAAAAAAGGATGCTGTCAAACATGCGAATCGTGCGATGTATAAGAAATGGCATGTACTGACGACGCGCCGTCCAAATTTAAGGAACTTCCGCAGTAAGTATATGGGTATACAAGGAAATGGACTGCAGAGCTGAAATTATGCGAATATATTTTTTGAGTAATTACAAATATCCTCCCCAAGTCCCAAAACGCTGAACCACGTAGATTGTTGACGGGAAAATATTAAAAATGTGTCATCAACACAGAGTCTTATGGCACCACTTTTTCAAAAATCACAAAAAAATAATCGACAATGGAATAAAAATCCAATCGCTTCACGAATAGAACCGCAAATATTTTAGGAATATATCCCCACAATTTTATTAGCCGTCACCACTGGGGTTATTTGTAATTATTGAAAATGTATGGTATAGTTCGGAATTTTAGTTACGTTAGAAAAAACTGATGGTTGAACATGGCAACGTTGAGGGAAGTTGGAGTGCTCGCGACGGAGGCCATCGTGTGAACTCCGCCAAGGCATATACTGTAGATTCTATAGTATAGTATAGAATTTTAGCGGGACACGAAAATATCAACTGCGTCGAAGAAAAATGGGTGGTTATCAAATATCTCATGAAAATTTGTATTTGTTAAAAAATTCGGATAAATAAAGTTTCAGAGTGAAAATTATTTAGAATTGATTAATCATGAATAATAAGTGCAAAGAAACACAAACGGCGAAATTTCAATACACCCGTGAACTTTTCGTAATTTCATTTTTTTTTCAAAGGATGCAGCGGAGTACCTATCGGAACATTTGATATTTTTCGTCATATCTGCACAGAAAGTTTGATTGTCCTCCCCAAATGCAGGCTTCTTTCATTCCTTGGATTTCTGTTGTTTTGGACGATCCTTGGAATGACATAACCCACGTTCCTCCATGCATTTGCGAAGAAAAATCGAACATAAAAGCCATGCAGTTATGACGAAAAATAGTATGTGCACCTAAGAAGCAAAACAAGACATTCAAACCCGCGTGTTTACCGCCATCCATCTCCCTAGGACCTACCCTTTAGATAGCAGTCAAAAGACAAAAATGTCGAGAAAATTTTGATATAACAGACCACGATTGATGATATTTGACTTGTAATGTTTCGTATTCTTTCCCCTCCATAGTTGTGTGATGCAGTATTACGATCTGTATCATGCGCAAATCCCTGGGGCTTCCGGTCCTATCCTGTGGATAATTCAGGGAACAGGGATAAGGAGAGACGAATGCTGTGGCTATAAGAAAACCTCATATTTTTTGGGGTCACGGCGTGGCAAGCAGAATTTGTTACGTCGCCCCGTTTTTTACACTACTTTCCTCGCTACAATTTTTACCTCACGGAATAAATCTTCGTTGCAGTTTTTTATTTTTTCACTTTCTTTTAGTACCGTGATTCTCCAGGTGCACCAACACGTCTTTGCTGCGCTTTGAAAGTTTAATGCATTGCTATTATAGCACGAGAGGTGAATCTACTGGGTGTAGTGAGAGAATGATTTCTTTACCTGTACTCTGGGGTGGGACATGCCTTTGCTAGGCAAACTAGGGAAGTTGATTCATCCTGTCCAACGTAGATTGTGCCCGAGTGCTCGAGTATCGTTGGTGGTATCATGCCTCCGTGCTCTGTTGGAATAAAGTAATTTTTTTATTCGAAGGATAATTGAAATTGGGTTATCTGTGGAATAAAAAAATCTTGTGATTGTCCAGGAGTCAGTGGAAACACTGGTTTACGGAGATCTTGACAAAAAATCGTTCAACCCTTGGAAGTTCAGAAAGTTCCGTGAAGAACTTTTTCTACCTCATATGACTGTAGAACTCGACATTGACTCGTCCTGCAACCTCATATTCGCCAGAAAAGTTCCTCACGGTTAGAGCTGCGCACGAGAGGAGAGAAGACGAGATTTTACAATGTCTCATCTTGGTCTCGGAATAGACAGATATAATTGATATGGTGTCCCTCTCATCCGGTCTCGTCTCGTCTCGCTTCGGCCTCTGTCTCGGTCTCGCTGCGGTGTTAACCCGCCTAATACCAAGACGAGAATGTTGCTAAAGAATTTATTTATGACTGAAGTACATCAGAGGCTGCGGATATCCTCATCATGAAGAGTTTACATAAGGGTCAAACAATAACGAGCGCACCAAAGTGATCATAAGGGTCAAATGGAAAAATGGAGCAAATCGATCACAAGAATTAAATAAAGCGATTGGAATGATCTGAAGGATTCAAGGATCCTCGGTTAGTTTTGCTCATCCATGAAGGTTTGATAAATCACAGAAAGTGTCTCACTGAAAAATTCATCGAGAGTTTCTCCGAGACTATCGTCAGAAATGAATCTCGTTTTAGTCTCGTCTTCCTGGTTTGCGGACAATTTCGTCTTGGTTTTCCGAAATGAAATGAGACGACACCCAGACTGGTTGCGGTTTCGTGCGTAGCCTTACTTACGGTCTACTACCGAAATATATTATTAAAGTACAGTAGACTCTTACTAGTTGCATGCCCGTTACATTCAGAAAAAAAGTGTTTCAAAAAGTAGTGTGCTACTCACCAACGCAGGGACATAACGTGGGGTCATCGAAAAATTCGTATGTGGCACCCCAATTTTTAAAGGGACTTCCGCCACTACTTCGCGTGATGCTCGTAAAACTCAGGGTGCCACATACAAATTCTCTGGTGACCCCCTGTTATGTCTCATCGTTAGCGACTAGTACACTAATTTTTGGAGGGACTCTCACAGAAATATGATGTATTTTTCTCTCCGTGTAGTGACTCGTTTTTCCCTAATCCCCTTCTCGAACGCTCGAGCGCTGCCCTCCACTCTGGCTCGCCTTATCGCTTTCTCTTGTTCTCCGTACGTAAGCACAGAGGTCCAAATAATTTTATTCGAAAATAAAACTATTCATTCCCTCACTTCTCTGAGAGCTTGGCGCGGCATTGGTTGAGGAGTGCGGGCCGGTGGAAAGATGTGAAATTTTTGGAAATGGTATCTCTACAGCCCTTTCGATGAGTAACTAGCGAGTATGGTAAACATATGGTTTGCAGTATGAAGAAATTTCCATTTGTATAGATTCATTCTTTTTATTATTGCAGAATAATTTTAGCATAAATTAGTTGTAGGATTATCTCTTTTGTTTATGGGGAAACTGCGTTTGAAGATTCTGGATGTAGTTCTGTCACTGCAAAAAGATCGGTTTCAAATTAACGTACGTTCTTATACGGAACGTGGACTTTGCGGACTTTGGTCATGCTATTCCTGTATAATTCATGTCATTTTTATTCGTCAAATTAATAATGTCGATGAATATAAAATGTTCCCTTTGAAAATCTACGTTGCCCTCCATACGGAAAGATTAATTATAATTTATATATATATATTTTTCATTATTGCAGTTTATATATTATTTTCGTTCTTTGTTTGAAAAAATTATTCTTTTTTTTCATTGAATAAGTAATACTTCCTTAAGAAATCCCAAAGAGTGTTGGTTAAGAATTCAATCTTTACCAGCTTTTGGCGTGAGCCGGTACTCACGACGAGGATGTGCCCAAGTGGAAACTGCAGTCAGGTTCTACTAATCAGGTCGAACCTGAAAAAAACCTGGTAAAATCCAGTGTTTCTGAAGTCAGGCAGCCGGAAATCACTTTGGTCAGATTCGGATATTGGTCAGCCGGATTTCAATTTGAACAAAGTGTCTTGAGATGAATCTGATCGGATTTGAATTCTATCACCCTGATGTCAATTTGAGCAGGGTATTCTAAAATAAACAATATCAGATTGGGATTTGATTATCCCGATCTCAATGCGAGCACGGCGTCAGTCGCTTCAAAGGTTAAACGTCTTAAGGGTCAAACGTCGCAAGAATCTGATGTCTTAAGGTTCACAAAAGTCAGATGTTTAAAAGTTTGAAGGTCTTAAGGCCCAAATGCTCAAGGGCCATACATACCAAGGGTTGAACACTGTCAGGGCCAGACATTTAAAGGGACAAGCGTCTCATGGGCTTAACATTTAATGCTCAAATATCTTGTTTGAAGGGTCAAATGTTTTAAAGACCAAATGTCTTAAAGGTCAGATGTATCAAGGATCAAATGTCTCAAATGTCAGCCTTTATAAGATTCCGATCACCATACTGGTTAGCTGTTCAAAGGCTCAAAAGTCTTAAGGATCAGAAATCAGAAGGGCCGAATGTAAAGGGGAAGGTGGGCGGAGCGGGAAAACGCTAGTGAGAGGTGGGTACTGGGTAAATTCATCCCTAGTATCAGAAGTCTATCTAGAAATTTTTTATTATCAGCAATGTTGGAGGGATAAGAGGTGAAGAGGATACACGCAAACTAATGTCCTATTGACAATACGAGTTTCACAAAGGAAGATTTGCGCGTGTAGTCTAGCCGTTAGGGCATAGGTGTAGTAATCGTAGGATCCCAGGTTCGAAACCAGCCGTGGGTGGAATAATTTGCGATAACAAAATCGGATCTTTCTACGATAAATGCATTGCAGCATGACTAATGAGGTCAGGCATGTTCGTAAAAATGATTTTTGAAAATTTAATTATCATTTTATGTTAATGATTATTAGTAATGAAACTGGACGTCTTCCTGCGGTCCGGGTCCATGGGGGTTGATCAGGTCTGGGTCCGCAAGGCCTGATCAAATTTGGATCTAAAACGGCGTTATATCTATGATCAGGACCTAATCATCTCCCATCATCACAACCGGATCCGACGTCAGGGATACCTGATCGAATCTTGACCTGGACCTGATTGGAATTTCAACTCGGGTTAGTGATAAGAATTTCGTCTTACTTTTCACGTGATATTTACCGGTTATGTATTAGGAAATTGATAAAGTTAAGTATATGGGTCTCGGAAATTTTTGTCATATGAGTCGGAACACTTGACCTACACGATTATTGATAAAAATCCTCTTTTTTATTCAATATTCCGAGAAATAGGGAATTTCTGCTGAGATGCTGATTCTCGGTGAATGAATGAATTGGGATGAGACAGATTCGTTTTTGAGTTTCGGTAGAAGGTCACACGGCCAATCCCCCCGTTGTAACCATGTAAAGTGCCCTATTGTTGCTTATGGTGTTCGAAAAATTAATTTTTATCTTCATAGTGAATTAAAAGTCTTGTCAAGTTATCACCTTAGTTCTTCCTTACGTCTCTGCCGCGGTGATCCTCGAGAATGCGGCCCCAAGAGGTAATGATAGTTGATAGAATTTATCTAGGCTAATTACCGCCCCTTCACTCCTTTTAAATTTTTGTTTCATTTTTCGATTTGAATCGAATTACGCGCTTGGAACTATCGGGTTCACGTGTCCCTTTACTTCGTTTTTTCTTCGAGTTCAGCGCTGGACATTGCCTAAACACAACACCGACTGAACCCGCTATGTGTCTTCATGTGATGAATATAACGTTCTCATTTCATATTACCGTCACTGACCGCGTCATGGAACCCATAAGAAACCAGGCCCAGTTATGGAACCGTATTGTTTTCAATGACTTAGAAGTTATATTGAGTGGATGGTTTTGGCTTCAGAGTAAGTATACAGTCCACAGTTTTCATTTAACTTAGTTCATCGCAGTGAATATAGGGTCACATCGATTTTCAGATAAATGCGTTAGATGTTTGGGGTAGAAACTGCGAAGTTTGTGCGTGTTTGAAGAGTCGGTGGCTAACCCCCGTCGAGTGCATGGCCTTCGGGCAAAGTCTTCCTCAAGAAGTTTCTGCGTAGGGGAGACCGGGGCAAGGAGGGGTAGCTAAGACAAAGAGGCGGATGTCAGAGCTTCTATCATACTTATATTGTTTTTTACCAAACACTATTCATATTCTAAAGTTATCAACTCGTGTCTCCAACGCATTATAGCTAGGGGCACAGCGGGGTAGTGTCCAAAAACTTTAAAATAATTATAAATGTTGTTTCTTTACTTTTCACCTTCGAATCTCCAAAAAATGACAGAAAAACACTGAAATCGGTAGAGTTTTAATCAAAATACCCAATATGGCGGCTCATCCCGCTGTTTAAAAGAATTGAAAGTATTCTCGGAGTTCTTCCATTTAAAAAAAATTTTTCTTTAGTAAAAAATTATCATTAATTATTATAATTATTCATTATAATTAATTATTCGAGTTTTTTAGCTGTTTTTGACTATTTATTAATCCTTGATCGACCCCTCGTCAACCCCTTAAATTTCTCAATTTTAACCTTTTTTTTATGTACCCCACTATGCTCCGACCACCACGCTTTGCCTGGTCTCCCTTATAGCCTAGAGCTTAGATGAAATTTGGCATTTCGATTCGTATATTGCCGCATAGTTTCGTAACTATTCGGAGTATTACCGTATAAATCTTTTGAGGATTATGTTGCGGAGTTCGGTTTTCCTTTTTTCTGTGTAATTATGGGAATTTTGAGTTTCTATCGTGTTAGGATACACGCGGTAAATTCAGTTAATTCGATTTCGTGCAATTCCGAGTATGTCTTCCCATTTTGTGGATTTCCGCCTGATGGAGAGAATTTGGATGATTAACGTGAGTTAATTAGAGAATATTCGTTAGGATTTTGTGCAGAAAGTATATCGTAGATTAGATTCATAGGATTCGCTGCATATTTAACTCTATTGCGTGGCATTGACGACGATTCGAGTCTTCAGATTAAGGTTCACTTTAGTTAGAATTTATTTATCTGGGTCTTTGTCTTCTCCATAATAATTGAGTCTTGAAGGATACATTTTTTGTATGACAATGTTACATTACCTTGGGCTGTCACTCTCAGTCGTTATTTTTACGATTATTTGGCGGCTTTTAAAATCTTAATTTTATTCAGTTCTCTTCCTTTTACCTTTGGGCGGAATTAATTTTCAATTTTATTATTTTGGCTATATTTTTAGCTGTATAATTTTTCTATTTTATGTGTGATTTTTTAAATTTTTGACGTGAATATATTTCCGATACATTTCAGCTTCAATTCCGATATTTGGCGTTTCGTTATTTTGTTGAGTAATACACAATGGCTCATTTCGCAATCGAATCTATCCCTCTCACCACCACCAACACCCTGCGTCGCGCGGTCAATCTATCACCTTTCCCTAGACTATTTAGTTTCAATTTCAGTCATTAGTTTAAGGCTAATTGTTTATATTTTCTGCGAAATGTAGGGTTTGTCATTTCCGAGGTCAAAGGACGGTCGTCCGTGCAGAGGAAAGGGGCCAGTTGACGTGGTTTTCTAGTCCCAGATGGGAAATTCCGTTACAATTCACATTTGACAATTCGCATCAAAAAACTAGTTTGAGTTTGAATAACGGTTTATTGCAAGTTATTTGAATGAACCCATTTTTTGTTGTAGTAAATTCTGTGAACAGTTGCTTTAAGAAACAATCACAGAAAATTTTTCGATATAAAATAAACAACAAAAAATTCTACGTCATCAATACAATTTTCTATTTTACTAACCAGCGATCCTAAGATTTGCTGAAGTGCTAACCACCACTTGTCGTGTGAGCCTGTGCATGGTCCTGCACCTGTAACTGAGGAACTGGTCACTGAACTCCAATCCGTGTACCAGTAATTCCCCCGTGGATAGTAGGTGAAATTTTCCATCTGTAAAAATACAAAGCGAAAAAATATTGAACGAAACCCGCAGTGATAAATTAAGTGTCCAGCTAAACTCCGATAATGTAATTGGGTCAGTTAAAATATAAAACGCAGTGCCATTCAGCGCATGAACACCGAAGCCAGTGAGCGAGAGAGAGAGAGA